GTATTTTCAATATAAAGGATAAACTTAAAAGACAGGCAGCAGATAGAAGAAAATGTATGAGATTACAATAGAGAATTCAGGCAAGAAGAGCCCTATGAACAAAGAGTGCAGTACTATTATAATGAAACACACAGAGTAAATCAGATTATTTCCATAGGTTAGTGGTCAGACTCCACAGCCTATCCAGGCAAAATCTCCTTACCCTCTTGCTTTTTAAGCCAAGAGAGATCCATATCACTGTATATGCAAGAGGACTATAAGCCACTCAAATTAAAAATCAGTGAGATAAAATTTATTTTAGGATGAGCCTGTTTTAGATGGCCCTTTTAATCATCTTAGTCTAGTTTTCCTATTGTCAATAGCCTCTTTCCAGCTTCAAGAATGTTGCTTCTCCCAGATGCAATGTTCTTAATACAATTCAGTATTTTTTAAACTTAAGATTTAAAGAGGCGAGATTTCTGCAAGAATTAAATGCCTAAGCCTTGGAGCCTTGGGTTGGACTCATGATATCGTACAATCCTGTTTGCACCTTTAATTCCAGCACTGGGGAGGTGGAAGGAGGAGGGTAAATTCAAGGTCATCCTTAGCTACCTAAAGAGGGGCCAACCTAGGATACATGAGACCCAATTTTAAATAAACAAACAACAAATAAATAGGGTAAGAATATATTGAAGAACTTAATATACAGAGTTTGTGGGGGAATCACAAGACTATATTGAAAGTACTCAATAAATATTAAATAGTAACTGAAAACTCATACAAGTTTCAATTTAATTTATTTTCTCAGTCTCCTTTAATTTACACTTAAAGCTTTTTAGTCTCTTCAAAACAAGCTCCCTAAGGGTAAAGTCTTCATTTCATACATAATTGTACCCCTAGCAAGTTGCCTGAAGTAGCACACATTTACTGAATAAATAACTTTGAAAAACAAAGAAAACAATGAAATTCAAGAGACTAAATATACTCTGGAAAAGATTCATTGACTAAAGAGTAGTAATAACATTCATTTGTGGTACAGGTTTAGTGTGGTTTACAAGAGAATAGGGATACAAAATCAGCTAAATCAATGGTTGATATAGAAAAGTTAATCAGAAAATTTACAAATAAGTCTGGAAGCTAATGAATAGCCCCAGGTTTAAATCCCAGTTCTGCTTTCTGCTGTCTCCAGGTACATATTTGAGCACATTACTTAAACTCTGGTGAGCCCATTATTTCAAAGTCAGAAATTTAAAAAGCAGCCAATTCCACCAACCTCACAACATCACAAACCTGTGGCCCTGGAAAGCACATAGTAAATAAATTGGACTTATGGTCCTGGAGATGGCTCAGAGGGTAAGGGCATCTACCTGCTGCTAGGCCTGCTGACCCAGCTCAATCCCTGGATCCACATGGCCCTCTAACCTCCAAACACATGCTATGCCCATCCACAAGCACACAAAATAGTCAAAATGTAACAAAACTGTTTATAGTAAAAAATATAATGAACAAGACAATTTAGAACCTCAAAATGAGAAACAAATAAAATAAAGTATTACAAAAAGTAGACTGGGCTTGGTGGTGCCCTATACTATTCCTTTTACTGAAAAAGGTTATTCATGAAGATCACAATTAATTGAGGTTACCCTGGGCTAAACAGTTTAGCTCCATACCACCCAGGGATACACAACAAGACTCTGTCACAAAAAAAAACAGAAGTGATGATGCAGATGAGAGGAAAGAAATGATAGAGGGGATGCCAAAGAAGAGCCTGTTATTTCAGACAGTCTGTATATAGCTCTGGTTGGCCTGGAACTCAAGACAGGTCCACCTGCATTTGCCTGCCCGGTTCTGGGATCTAGGATGCACTCCAACCCGAACAGCATATAAAGCCACAGCATGTGGACATCTGCAGTTCCTGGGGGAAAAGAGGGATACAATGTTCATTCTAGGATGTTCCTAAAAACCATGACTATGGACCAAGGTTAACAGGTAAATACAAGAGAATAAAACAACTGTAGAGCTAGTGAGGTGGCAAAGGGCTGAAGAAGCTTGCCAACCTGACAACCTGAGTTGGGTCCCCAGGACAGTCTGTGTGCTGTGGGAGATCACAAACTACAGCCACACTACACAGCACACACAGGCTCAGGGTTCAATCTCCAGCACAGCAAAAAATGTGTGTTCACATGTCAGTCCCCGCTATCTGGGAGGCTGAGGCTGGGAATCACTTAAACCCAGGAGTTAAAGTCTAGCCTGGACAACATTACAAGTTACCATCCAAAACGGTGTGTGTGTGGGGGGGGTGTGATTAGTGTGCTGAGAACTACATATAAATGGTTTAAGTTGTCTTGTTTTCTAAAAGGTTAACAAATAATTTTAAATTTACAGCTTAAATACAACACATACATAACTACACATACATTAAACATATAAAAGTTTAAGTGCATACTTCAGAAGCAGTCTTAATTAGAGACTAATAGCAGCTGGGAGCAGTGGCACACACCTGTAATCTCAGCACTCAGGGAGGCAGAGGCAGGCAGACCTCTGCAAGTTTGAGACCAGCTTGGTCTACAAAGCAAGTCCAGTATAGCCAAGGCTACACAGAGAAACCCTGTCTCAAAAAAAAAAAACAACACAACAAATATATATGCACACACACACACACACACACACACACACATATATGGATACAAACAATTCAGTCATGCAAAGGTATCAGTATACCATAAGGAAATGGCTAGGAAAAAAGAGAAACAAATAAGCAGGCTAGAGAAATGGAACCCTCCCAGAGTAGCTGAGTTTGATTGCCAGCACTCACAACACCGGCAGCCCCAGCTCTAGGGGAGCCCAACAGCTCTGGCCTCTGGAGGCACCTGCACTCATGTGCACAGGCACACACATAATTAAACATAATAAGATATGCTAAAGAGGGGAAAAAGCAAGTAAACAAAGACTCTCAAAGAGGCCAAATAACAGAATATCTGAAAGAAACCAAGCAGCAGAATCTTAAAAGTTCTTTTCTGTTGCTGTTGAGGACAGGAACAACTGGAAAGTGAAATGAAGAAAGAGGCTGACAGCACAGATTTCAATAATGTAAAACTTGCTAATTTGAACACAAGATGCTGTCTTAGCTATTTACACTGACCATGCCCGAGTGACAAATTCAATTGCTGATTTGAAAATCAAAACAACAGTACACGGTTCAAACACTATATAAGGACTGGTGGTGGTTTATCAAGTAAGCAAAAGTCCCAATGCAATTTTTTTAATGAACATTTCACCTCAGTCTACCCACATGGAAAATTAAGTCAGCATGGCATCACAGCATACTAGTAAGTACATTGTGTGCCCACAGAACTCTAACTCCAAGAATATTAAGGTAGACACTACAAATTTAAAAAAAAAAAATACAGGCAATTTTAACTTAAGCTTTTTGAAAGCTGTAATCTCTTAAACACAAAGGTATTTTTTTAAGCACAATTCTAAAGCTACCAAATCAACTAAATTATGTAGGGTTTGTTGTTGTTTTTGAAGTTTAACTTCACCCACTTTGTGAAGTAAAGTAAAAGTTCACTGGCTTGCCAGATGAGGTGGTGTAAGCCTTTAATCCCAGCATTTAAGAGGCAAGTGGATCTCTAAGAGATGGAAACTAGCCTGTTCTACATAGTTCTAGGCTGCCCAGACCACAGAGACCCTGCCTCACAAACCAACCGCAACTCTGATGCCAGCACGCAGGAGGCAAGTGGATCTCTGCATTCCAGGCCAACTTGGTCTATACAGAGTTCCTTCCAGGGCAGCCAGAGCTACAGAGAAACCCTGTCTCAAAAAAAAAAAAAAAAAAAAAAAAACAACAACAAAAACCCACAACCAAAAAAGTAAAATCAATTGTTTTGCAATGCTTTTGGCAATAAAACTTTTTTTTTTAAAACTTTTTTGTTTGGTTGAGATAGACTATGTAAGCCTGGTTGTCCCGAACTCTATGTAAACCAAGCTGACCTGAACTCAAGGATATCTAACCCCTCCTTCCTGAGTACTGGAACTAAAGATCTGTGTCACTACACCTGTGTGTTTTTAACTTTTTGTTTTGGTTTGTTTTTTGAGACAGGGTTTCTCTGTGTAGCCTTGGCTGTCCTGGACTTTGTAGACCAGGCTGGCCTTGGGGCTCAGAGATCCACCTGCCTCTGCCTCCCTGAGTGATGGGATTACAGGCAAGGGGCACCGCGCCTGTCTGCTTTTAACTTTTGAATGAAATTCTCTATGTTGTTTTCAAACAATCAGGTCAGAAATAAAGTAATCAATGTAAAAAAAAAAAAAAAAAAAAGTTTACTGGTTCAAAACCAAACTGAAGATTCACATTTATTTGAGGGCACCATTTCTGCATTAGTCAATCTCCCGTTTTAAGACTACTTCTTCCTAAGTTCAAAGATGTGTTGTGTGTTATAATAATGAACAATATATATTGCTTACACCCGAAATTTTAAGTCTGAAAAACTGATGCAACGTTTAGACAGCGTGCTTTTTCCTTCTAAGCTTAAATTATACCCTGGAAAGGAACTTCAAAATGCAACTATCCTACAGCTTAAATAATCCTTAAAAACAGATGCAGCAATTTTAAAAATTCAAGGCATGAAGCCGAAACTACCACCGCCCAAAAGTTAGGATAACTCAAGTCTGTCAAAGGGTCACACCAAGTCAACAGTTAGCTCCGTTTTGGCGTGCACCACACAAAAAGAGCAATTCTTTCCGCAGACATTTCATAGATACATTACAGATAGTCCAGTTTTGCTTTCCATCAGTAAAAACAAGACTGGAGAAGGAAAGTCTAGTTAGGGAAGCCGACCCAAAGGAGAAAAATTCAGTTAAAAGTGGTGAAGAATCATGAAGCGCTAAAGGAAATCCGAGGGACCACAGCGGCATCCCGGGTGCGTGGAAGAGTTGAGGGTGGGAGGGCAAACTCGGCCGGCGGCGAGCTATTGTGCGCGGCGGCAGCCCGGGGCGGCGTGGCTGTCAAGGGGCGAGTGCGCCCCGAGGCGCGGGGGAGGGGGCAGGCCGCCACGGCGGAGGGCGCCGGTCCGGAGGCGAGCCACTCGCTCCAGGACCTCCCCGCGCCTCCTCACCTCCCGGAGCCGCGGAGCGCACGCTCAGGGCCCGGCCGGCCCACACCAGACGCGCGCCCCGACGCGCTGGGCCCGAGCCGGGAGGCCCAGCAGGCGCCTCTGGAGGAGCCCCGCGGACGCCATGCTAAAAGCCAAAATGGCTGCCCCGCGGAGGCCCGCAGCGCGCCGCCCGTGAGGAGGGCGCCGGCGCCGCGCGCGGGGGAGGGGGCGCGGGAGCGCCGTCCGGCCGCAGCCGGCGGCCCAGGTAGGTCCCCTCCGCCCCCCGGGCCCCACCCCCGGCCCACCCCGCCGGCGACGGCCCGGGCGAGGTACCTGCAGTTCGGCCCGCTCCACCTCCCAGTGCGCCCGCTCCATCTCGAACCGAGCCCACTCGTGCTGGATGTAGTGCAGGATCCCCGGGATGGTGTACTGCTGCGGCCGGGACAGCTCGGCGCCCGCCGGGGGCCCCGCCGCCTCGGCGGCCGGAGGACCCCCGGCGCCCGGCGCTCCGTTCGCCCCCGGCGGGAGACTCAGGCTCCCCCCGGGTCCCTGCTGCGGCCGGGGAGGGGCCGCCATCCCCTGGCCGCCGCCGCCGGCCAGCTCGTCCATTGTGTGTGCGGCCCCGGCCGGGGCGCGGAGCCAGACGCCGACAGCTGCGGGGAGGGCCGGGACGGTGGCCCCGCGCCGACGGCAGGGCGGGGGCCGGCCGGGAGGGGGCCGGGGAGGGGGCCGCCGCCGTGCGCCCGCCGCGGATCAGAGCAGGGAGCTGCGGGCCGCCGCCATTACAGTCCCTCCTCCATCTGCCCGGCTCACTCACTCACTTTGGGAAAGGGGGGCCGCGGCGGGAGGGGGAGGGACGGGCGACGAGGAACGTCGGGCCGCCGCTCGCGCGCTGCACGCCGGGTAGCGAACGCCGCGGCGGCCGCGCGCCGGAGAGCCAAATAGAGTCCGGCCTCGCCCTACGCACGCGCGGTACGGGCGGGCGCGCCTTGGGGGCGGGGGAGGGCCCGGCCTCCCGGCCCCGCCCCCACCCGGCTCCGCGGCGCCGGGGGACGCGGGGGGACGCGGGCGGACGCGGTGCTTTGGCTGAAGCCCCACGTCTCTCCGGAATTCCCGAAGGTCGAGCCTCCTCCTCTGCCTGTCGCTGGACCCCTGGTGTCGTAGCGCCCGTCAGTCTCCGCGAGTCCGGAGCCGTGCACTTTTGGCCAGTGGCCCAGATTCTTCGGGACTTTCTCACTGATTCCTGGGCTTCGTCGCGACCTGCTGTTTTGGTCCCGCTTCGGTGCTCCCGGCTGCCTGTTGTAACTTGTCTTCAGTCTTTATTATTCTTAGACTTTGTTTGGGGAAGTTTGAGCGATCGTGTCTCTCTCTCTCTCTCTCTCTCTCTCTCTCTCTCTTTACTAGGAGAAGAGGTGGCGATATCTTGAATCTTGAGAATGGTGGGTAGATAGGGACCGATAATTTGCAAAGAAAGGAAGTTAATAGAGCTAATAACTTGGCTGCTGGGTGTGGTAGCCCATGTCTCTAATCTCAGCACTCAAATTCAGGCAGATGGCCTGATGTCTGAGTTTGAGGCCAGCCTGGTCTACAAATGGAATCCAGGCTATAGAGGGCTACACAGAGAAACCCTGTCTAAAAAAGCAAAATAATAATAATTTAAAAAGCTAATAACCATTTGGTTGCATAAGACAAAAGTAATATTTATTTCTACTACAAAAACCTACAAAATTTTCACTATGAACTGGATGAGGAGGCGCATGCCTGTAATCCCAGCAGAAGCAGGCAGAGCTCTGTGAGTTCGAGGCCAGCCTGATCAACAAAGCGAGCCCAGGACAGCCAAGGCTACACAGGGCAACCCTGTCTTGGAAAAAATAAATTTCATTATGGAGCACATTATATGATTACTCAAGAATGTAATTTCAGAGACATATATACGTTTTATTTGTTACGTATTAATGAGCTGTATTAATGAGCTGATTGGATCTGTTACACTTCTTCCATGTTTGTATATAAAATGAGGTCTAAAATAATATGAAATAGTATTGTTATCTGAGAGTACTGTATCTTCACTTCCTAATAACATATTAATCAGCATACAGCTGGTTCATTCAGTCCTAACCCTTGAGGAACATAAAATGCTCAGAACATAAAACTCTCTTCTTGCTGCCTGCCAGTCTGGACATAGAACTCTCAGCTCCTCCAGCAACTTGTCCACCTGCATGCTGCCATGCTTCTGGGCATGACAATAATGGACTAAACCTCTGAAACTGTAAGCCAGACCCAATGAAATGTTTTCCTTTATAAGAAAAAAAAAGCTCAGAAATATTTAGACATGTCTTCAGGACCTTTTCAGGTGCACATTTTGAGGTTGTTTTAAGGGCCTGCAGCCCACTTGCATGATTGTTATATCAAAAGAGCACATTTATATGCTCTTTGATGTACATTGATATTCCTCACTCAAGGCTCCCACACACATACACACACCTTGCAAAAAAGAAAACTTTGTTTCTCTTCTATTGTCTGTCCTACTGGATGACACTATACCAAACCTAAAGCTAGCAGTCATTCTAGTCCTCTGCATTTAACCCAGACATCCAGTCCTGTCTCAGAAATTCATCCCTGTCTTTTCCCATTTCTGCGCTTCCCTGTCACTCGCCTTGCTGCCTGAGTAGTCACCTAAGGCAGATTTAATTGTCACCCTCTGCGTAAATATTTTAGTCATCTCCAAATTTAGAGCAAAGCCCAAGTAGGCTTCATGGTTGAACTGGCCTTTAATCCCAGCATGTGGAAGGTGAAGGCAGAAGGATTGGGAATTTAAGATGGTCATAGTGAGTTTGAGGCCAGCCTGGGATTCATGGAACCACATTTCAGTTGTACACCCCTATCTCTCTGCCCTTCCAGTTTCCAGCCCTGTTGTAAGCAAATTACTTAATACTTACCACCCTGACTTCCTTCATATCTTTGCATAGGCATCTCCCAAAAAGATCTTTTAAAACCTTGTGTTTCCAGATTTACAAAATCCAACTGATTATGCATACCATTTACTTTAACCATGATTTTCTAAGTGTCAATATAGCACAGTTCATGTGTTTGGAGTTATTCATCTGCAAGATTGTAGGCTGTTCAAGGGCAGAGCCCACATTTCTATTGTTTGTACCTATACGGTAGAGGACAAGGTAGATGTCAGTAAATGCTTGATGAATAACATTTAGACAAACTAATACAAATATTTCCAGCTTTACGTGGTACTGGGGATCTGAACTCAAGTCCTCATGCCTATCCTACAAGTACTTTGTCTACTGAACCATCTTAACTACTCCTTCCCTCTCTCTGACTTTTTGTTTGTTTGTTTGTTTGTTTTGTTTTCAGTGTCTTGCTGTATGGCCCTAGTCTGGAACTCAAAATCCTATTAAGTTTTTCAAGTACTGAGATTACATTATTACTTTGAGCCCAGCCTAGGTAAATGACTCAAACTGCCCTGAGTATTAAAAATACAAATAGCAGCCAGGAGTGGTGGCACAGCCTTTCATTCCAGCACAGGAGGTGAAGGCAGGTAGATCTCTGTGAGTTCAAGGCCGGCCTGGTCTAAAAAAAAGCAAGTTCCAGGACTATTACACAGAGAAATCCTGTCTCAAAACAAACAAAAAATACACATACAAAACTTGCACCTCTGTTAAGATAATGCTTTATACTGTTAACATGATGCTTCCTTCCCACTACTCCTGAGAACACTGGAATGAGCTTATTGAACTTTAGATAACGAGTTCCCCCAAGTTATGTTATCACAGTGCAACCTACCTGTCTGGATTCCCTCTCCCAGCTATGGCTGAGTCATCTCTCTTCCGTCCCACCTTGAAACTTCCTGTCACCACTTCTATTCATCTGTGCTCCTGCCCATACTCTCCTCGTTTCAGAACGTTTGGGGTAGGTTGAAGGTAAAGTAATGGCTCACTCTGTGCTGCCCCGAGCATGGGACTCTCCTGTTTCCACCCACATGCCAGGATTGCAAATGCACACCAGCTTGCTCAGCTCTTGATGATCTTCAAGAAAGCCTGTTTAAGCCAGGTGTGGTGGCTCTTGTACTTCCTGTACTGGGGAGGCTGAGGCAGGACCTTGAGCTTCATGATGAGTTCCAGGCTAGCCTAAAGTACACAGTGAGTCCTCTTTGTTTTTTAAATAAAGAATATCTGTATTCTTAATCAGCTTAGTTTCAAGGGAACTTTTTGTTTTCTTTCCTACTAGTAATATTTGAACTTGTGTTTATTCTGCTTTTGCCCAGCTGGACTTGTCATATTTCATTTACATGTATTATGCCAGGCTTTTAAATAAGTTGGGAGTAGATAATACTCAGATAACTTCTCATCAGCTATTCCATATGTGATATCTGAAGAGCCTTTCCTCTGCCTCTGAGAACTTAGTGTCTTTTGCCGACCACGCACCTGTCATCTTCCACTGAGAACTCAGCAGATTCATAAATACTCTGAGTCACTGTCTTTCTTCATCAGAAAGGATATGACTAGCATACTTATTTTTAAGGCTGAAAGAACAAGTCACAACACAGTTCTTAGTGACTTTAGCTAGTCCCACTGTATAATAGGAAGTGGTCCCCACCCTTTCATATAGCGAGTGTGTGTGCATTTGGAAAAAAGGAAATAAAGTCTTTCATCACTATTTGCCTACTGTTGTAAGACTGGGCTCACAACTGTCCCTGGTTCCTGAGTCATTAGCATGTTTGCAATTATGGTCAGGTGATTAAGTTACTCCGGGAAATAGCAAGGTGTTTACATTTATAAAGTAAGAGAGCAAACAAATATTACAGCCTACAAAAGCTGTGCTAAGAACTGACATGAGTTCAAACCAAAGGAGCATAGCACACATAACACAGTCACAACAGAAAAGGAGGGAGCAACTCTCACCTGCACCAACGCCTAGGCTGACAAATGAGATCAGACATTGATCTCATTACAGAAGTTGCTTATGGCTATAAAAATTACAAATATATCTTTATTTATTTATATATTATGCAAACCAAAGTATATCAGGGAATTCCAGGCTTTTAAATAAGTTAGGAGTAAATAATACTCAAATACCTTCTTACATATTTGTAATATATATACAGTATATATAATATATATAAAACATTTATATGCAAGGTTATTGACTCAGGCAAATAAAATACTGTGTGTAAAAGAAAAAAAAAAGATCGTTACAGATTATAGAAAATGGTCTTTAAGAAACCCAGGATACTATATAAAATTCTAGTCT